AAATTTTGCAGGCCGACCATTGATATCGGGTGTGCGTCGGCAGGCGATCGAACTCCGGACCATTTGCATGGTCGGCGAGAGTCCTAACCGTTGTGTTATGGTAGATCAGCTTTATGAGATAAGAAAAGGATATTAAGCAAGAACAATTCACTAAACAAGACGCCAATCAAAAAGAGCAAAAGGAACTATCGAACAAGGGGTTAGTGAAAATGTTCTATGAATTTAAAAATAATAGTAATATATGGTATATATATATTTTTTCCTTCACGTTCCCCAGTGGAACATAGGGCTTCAATCTAGTGGCTTAAAGTTTCTGTAGCTGTGTTTATTTTACAGGATGGGTTGCTAGCCTCATGCCCAACCTTCCCTCTTCACCAGCATTATTTCTGGCTTAGCGAGGTAAAGGAGTGCGTCGGCCAAGGATCGAACCCTGGACCATGTGCATGGTCGGCTAGCGTCCTAACCTCTATGCCACCGACGCAGATATATATATATATATACGAATTATTGTTATGAACAAGTTCATGTTACACGATAGTGGATTTCCAATCACTGGCTCTAAATATCTCAAAAATTATACACACAATCCTGTCTAAAAAAGTTAAAGAACACTATCCTGCATGTTTACAGAAAGGTAACCAATGGGTCTTCTCATAAGAAGTGTGACAATTGAACGCCTTGTCGACACTGGCTATTCCATCTTAACAAGCACCTCCTTCAAAGTATTCTACAAAAGTGAAGAATAACCTGCCAAAGACAAGACATTTTCATCCCTTCTGCATTGCTGAAGGAAGCTCTAATAACCATTCTGAGGAAGCAGGGTTCTGGGTACAACATATATAAAATTATTCAACCACTTCTAATTACCATGGTTACAAATAGTGTTGCTTTCTACCAACTTGATTTTTATTTCTTTTTTTTAACTCTTGATGACTCTTGCATTTCTTTCAAACTCTTGTGCAATATCACATTCTCCTTTGTTTCTATACGCTTTTTTGATTACAACTCATTCAACCATTTATTCTATAACGTATATCTAGCACTTTCATTCAACTTCTCTTATGTATTGATTAATATTATCAGCTATGATTATGACACTTCATCTCTTTCGATACTCGCTTCTTTTTTGAGACAGTGGACTGTAAATAAATGAGATTGTACAGTTGAAGAGAAAAATTCAATTCGCCGCAAAAAGAGTCTCTTCGTTGACTACTGCTTGTTACGCATAATTTATTACGTTTTCAGGAGTTAGTTTTTAGGGATTTGATTGGTTTCAATGTTAATCACGGAATGATGACAGTTTGAGAATCACCTAATTGACAGAAGTCAGAATTCATGAGCCCAATTAGCTGAGTGGTTAACAAGCTTGGCCTTTCAACAAAAAAAGATCTTGAGTTTGATCTCCGGGGTGGGGTCATGGATGCGTGCTGATGAAGAGTCCTAAGCTAGGACGAAGTGGCTGTCTGATACTCCCTGCTATTCAGTGGTTCTCTAGCTGACATCAATCCGTGATCAGACTATTATTATTCACTATTATATAATTGTAATGTAGGCTTTGCAATGAACCAACACACCAGTTAGCGAATCATTGAAAACTCTGAAGTAATTGGATAACTATTTCCTTATAGTATAGAACTTTTCAGTAAATCGAGTCCATGTTTACATCACAGGTCAAACATATGAACAGAGTCTATTTATAGTCATACTACTGGAATGCAATCTGAAGACTGGAGAATTGTCAGATATCATTGCTCTCAGCCGATATAATCGATGAGCATTTGTGCTTTTACATCCGAAATGGTAAACTACACAGACCATTACTTTTCTATAGAACACCTCATAAAATGCATCTTGAAGCTACCAATAAGCAGGAGATGAAACCTGGATTGAATTTACACAGGTTTCAATCACAGTTTTCAGGGGTTGGTTTTTGCTGACGAAAACCACGCTGAAATCAATCGAATCCCTACAAACTTAACCACTTGAGAGTTTGGATGCAGCAACAAAAAGAAAGACATAGAAGAGTAGAAAATTTTTCTTTTCGACGAATAATTTTCAAAATCTGCTGTTCAGTCACATTCTATTATTTTACTTTTATTAGTTTGTATTCCGAGTGGGGAATAAAACTTCAGAGTTTCAGTAGCAGTGGTGTTTCTTTCTTAAAGGCGTTGGGTTGCTAATAGCCTCACGCCCAACTTTCTTTCTTTACTAGTCTTACTACCAAGTAAACGAGGTTTAAGAGTGCCTCAGTAGCTGGGGAATCGAAACTCGGGTCAAGTGCGACGTTTGGCCAGTGTTCTCTACCACTGAACCACCACCGATGCTGTTCAGTCGTATATAGGATTCACATAAAACCAGTTAAATACTGGTCACTATGTTCAATAAAAAATGTAGCTTGTAGTGTGAGATGTGTGTGCTTCGGTGGTGCGGCGGTAGAATGCTCGCCAATCCTCGGCTGATGAACTTCCTTACCCTCGACTCGCCGGTAGTAGGTACGGTAAAAAGGGAAGGTTGGGCATGAGGTTAGCAGTCCCACCCCGTAAAAATATAACCATTATTAAAGAAACTTCAAAGCTCTATCTTGAGGTCCTATGTTTCTCTTGGAGTGGAAAGGAATAAGATAAAATAAATAATAATAAGTATGAGATGTAATAGCGAGTAGAATAAGTGTAGACTGAAAAAGAGAAGTTGAAATTACGTAATAAGCCTGGGAAAATGGACAAAAGCTTGTGGAAATACAGTAAAGTGTTTATGTAATATCTATACGAGAAACGTACTCTTATTAATAAACAGTAATAATAATAAAACCACAATCGTAACGAAAATAATAAAAACAACACAACTTAAACATCAAACAATAAAATGAAACAAAACAATAGCGATACTGTGGGTCAGTAAGTGTACGCAATTATTTTGGTTCCCGAATAGGGGATAACTTGGTCATGTGTGTAATGACGTATTTGAAGCTGCCTTCTGTAATACTGGAGAAGTCTGTGTACACACTTGCAACATAATTGTATTTTCCTGTCCCGAATCCTCATTGAATCATTCTCTTCTAAATTACACCTCATATTACGTAACACATTTTTCTAGGATATAGTTATCAGTATTTAGTTGATTTTATGACTTCTTTGCTAAATGCAAATCTGAATGTACAGCAGATTTAGGGGATGATTCTTTGAAAAGAGATTTTATTGCTGTTACATCTTCTGTGGTTGATGAGTTCGGTTCAAACGACCGTCGAGTGTGTTAAATCCCTTCGATCTGTTTAGCAAGCACTACTGGTTGATATGGGTAGTGGCATACAACTACTCATTTCCGCCAATCAGCAATATATCGTCTCATGCAGTCAATAACTTCATCGGATTAAAAACTGTTGACTTTTCTTCAGTTTATGCTTTACTCAAATGTCTTCTTCACTGTGACAACCCACTATCTCATCAGCTTAATTCAACTCCTAAAAAAATACAACAGTTCTATACGGAGGATTCATAGCTCTGATTGCATGATATTCATGTTGGAGCTAACGCTGAAGTTGCTTTAGTAAGATAATGAGATCTTGACATTTGAATCATCAACCTCAGACAACAAAACTGCATCAATAATGAGTATGCTTATACTTAATGCAAACACACTGATTATTCACACACATACACGCATACAAGGGATGCTACAAAAAACTCATCAGCTTTCAACTGGTCGAGCCTGGATTCGAAGCCAGATCCACTTATTTTAGGCTGGTTAACTGGGTGGTAGCGTCAACCCTCACAAAATAAGTTTGTAGTTCTTAGTCTCGAACGTAAACATCTATTCCAGGAAGTGAGTTCAAGGAATTATGTTGATGACAGGAAGATTTATAATAATTCTTGTTTTTCCTCAACTTCGATGAGCATAATATTATCTTACAAACTGTAAAATGAACCAGACAGAACCGCTTTAACAGTATACTCTATTTTGATAAACATAATCTACAAATGTCATTAGAATCAGAGATGAAGAATAACTGCATCAGTTGTGTAGATAGAACACACTATTCACTTGAACATGTGACTTGAAAAAAGTGAATTGATAATCTATCTAAGTATTCGATAATAATTGATAGTTATAAAACCTTAAAAAGTAATCAAGAACTTCCTGATATCTAGAGAATTGTTTCAAATTCACTGACAGCATGCAACAAAAAAGTGAAGACAGAATGTCAGGTGATGAAGGTACGTATGTAACCAACAGTAATATGAACCAACCACCATCAGTGGGGGAAACCTAAGGGAAATGATCCCTTTCAAACACAAATGGCAGGTATGAGGACGACGTCAAAGCCGGGATCAGATCGAGAAATCAAGGGAGTTGTCCACTTTCCCAAAATCGATGCAATGTGTAAAGCTGGGACATCTAACATAGAAAACAATGTCCAAATTTTGTAAAATGTCAAATCAGTACTTCTATACCCTCTAGAGCCTTTTGTGCAGGCTACTGTAAACTTCCCTCAACAGATGTCTTTTCGATAATAATAATAATAATAATAATAATAATAATAATAATAATAATAATAATAATAATAAAGATAAGATGGCTGGTTGGCCAGGAACGATAAGCAAAAATAAACTCTGGTGTAGCATTAATCCATCGAACAACCTGCTTACTACAAGACAAATATGTAGGAGGAAATGGGAAAGACCGTTGTTAATTGGCATCAAACACACACAGACCAGACAGAACCTCTACTGCAACCCAAATTTGAGGCTACGGAGGATTAGACACGAGATTCCGAGAGTGACACGGTGATCGCATGTGAAAAAGAGGAAATGAAAGCTTGCAGGCATTTGTGCGGCCAAATGAAAGTGTAATGGCAAAGAACCAAATGTGCAATAGAGAGAAATGTGCCAGTGAGACCGCGTATATACCACTTCGGAAAGCAGATGATGAATTAAATAGCTATAAATAACGGATGTAGGAGAAAAATAAGAGGACAAATAAAAACTCTGAACAATATGACTTACAAATCAACTTTATGTTTCTTTGATATAGCATAAGTTTTCTTCAGTGCTTCAATGAAAAATATTAGACCAATTAAGGAAGCAAATGATTCTTCAGTGAAACGTGTTATAAACTTGACTAGTGCGCTTAAATCAAGTGCAACCATGATAAGCAGAGCGATTGATACCCAAATACCAATCCATAACCGAAAACTTAAATACGACCAAGCCATTCGCCTAAAAAATAGAATACAATAAAAAAAAGTAAGCGTGTATTATAGAGAAAAATCGATTAAAAAATTACCAAAATTAAGTTGAGTAGAGGTCATCATTATCATCATTATTAGCAACAGTAGCAGCACTGATCCTTTGCGCATCCGCATTTTCATGGTTGCAGATATACGTCTTTAGCTGACTAGTGCCAACAAACACGAAACCTAAGTTAAACAGGGCTTCCTACCGACTGTCTCCAACCATCTAACATCAAACGAAGTATATGTGTAAAGGGTAATATGAATCCCTACGAGTTTATAGATATGGAAAGAACAGAGTGAGGAGAAGAGGTATTGTCCGCGTTTCTGAACACGTTTCAAAGAATATTAGATTGAAGAGTTTACAGTAAACGGTAAACAGTGAGATGGTGTGTCTTCCCATTGGACACTAGTAAATACTGTGGACAATCTTAAGGCATTCAAAAAATATTTAGACAAACGAAAATCCAGTTTACTACGTTTGACTGAAGTAACTGCTATCACAAACTGTTAAATTGAAATTTATGTGCAGTAGGGTATTTTGCGACGACGTTAATGTTTAATATCTACGAAACAAAGATATTCGATTTGTATTACTTTTTGAGTTCTTCTTTACATTCTGTTCTATGTATATATATATATATATACATATATACATTATTCCAAAAAATAGACTTCACATGAACCAGGATTTCAAGGGAGACTTAGCCTGAGATGTCCTTTAGAGAAGAATTTCAGCATCTTTGAAAAGAACAATCTTCGCAACAACGCTAAGAGTAGCGCTCTCCAATCGGCCATTGGTCTGCTGTGGAGCCAAGTACATTGGTCGTTCGACGCATATCTTGTCTACAAGGATTCAAGAACACTATCCCACATGGCTACAAAAGGATAGTAGTGACCCTATAAGAAGTGCGATAATCGAACACCTTGTCAACACTAATCATCCCATCTCAGCAAACGCCTCCTTCAAAGTAATCTACGGAGTCAAGAATAACCTACCAAAGGCAATACGCTTTCGTTTCAGTTGGGAAAACCGGAGTTATGTATGCAAAAGAAAATCATTCAACCGCTTCTACTATCATGGCAACAACCGTGTTGATTTCTACTGACTTGATGTTTGTGTGCCTGCTTTTCTAACTCCTTATAACTCTTGTATTTCTTTACAACTCTTATACAACCCCATATTTTCCTTCGTTTCTACGTACATCCTAATCAAGACTCAGTCATTAAGCTATTAAATCAGTTCACTTTATGCTAAACATTGCGCTGAAGATGTTGTCCAGAAGGACGACGAAGCTCCGCAACTAAACCAACCAGCTCAAAGAACACTATTAATTGCAAACTATTCATCTTGTTACGCAACTACAGTACACTTATTCAACTTCTCTTAGGCACTGACTACCATGTTTTTTGATAAATCATCACTACCCTGATAGTAATCTTCACTTCCCACCCCATCGGCTAGTGGTCGCGCTATTTTTTGAATTGACAGAAGTTGGAATTCATGGACTGGCCGTTGGATCGGGTCCCAGTGACTTAATGGTCTATGAGCCAGCTCGCCTTGTAACCATAAGGCCCTGAGTTCGGACCCTGGTGGTGGGTGCGTACTGATGAAAAGTCCCAAACTAGGATGAAACAGGTGTCTAGTACTCCTAGATTTTCCAATGATCCTCCAACCAATGTCAGCTCATGATGAAATCCTGTAACTAGCCTTTTCATTTATCTTTCACTTTTAGTGGTCACATCTCATAGCCCATAAAGAAAGACAAAGCGAACAGTAACATAACATGAAGAAGTGCCAACGATCAAGGTTTTTAACAGGGTCGAGAGTATTTCATTTATAAAGTAGAATCAAGTAAATATATGTGTGTATGTATTTATCACTATCATCATTACTCAAAGTCTATATTTAGAATTGTCAGTAAATACTGTTTTGTTTATAATGTATATATCAAAAAAATTGTTTAAATGTGTTTGTGTGTATGTGTGTGTGTGTCGATTCATCCCCACAGCCTAACAACAACAACTAACTCTCATTAACACCTACATAATACAATGCACACTCACCCCCTGAACTTAATTTAGTCTAAATAATGTCCATATAGAAATTTCACATACCTATGAATTATGACCAGTTTATAAGATCATTCATTCTCTGGGTTTTTCGCATATATATAATACTACTACTGCCTACTACCACTACTATTGTTACTGATAAATACTACTTGATGAAACAAATATAAAAACACTTTTAATTATATATATATATATATACTTTTCAGTATATACATTATATAATCCATAATTGTTTAGTGAGATACGCTACTTTTGGTTGTTAGAAATGATAACAGTGTGTGTTATAGATAACCAAATTGGTTACTGAAATGACTGACTGACTGCTTTCAACGCAGAACTTTGCCACATTACCTCCTTGTACCACATAAAGCAAGTGTAGAGAGTAAAGCGAGGTTCAAAAGACAAATAATAAACAGAAGTGTGAGTGAGGGAAAAAGAATAGTAATAAGGAAGAACAATAGAGTTTTATTGGATATGATAAATCACAAAGAGTGAATGCATCTCCGCCAACCATTGAGAACGATTTTGAGCAATATCACCAATTGTCGCCAGCCTTCACTGCTTTTCACTATCTCGAGGACCCAAACCAGTCAGTGAGTCTACACTTCCCTACGTAGATGGCTGGCTTAAACTAACTGTTGTGGATCTCATTGACTGATGAAGCCATGTTTTCGTTTGACCACCGCACACTCATTTCCAACCTGGTCAATTCTATGTCCGTCAGCTAACATTGCCCGTGTCGGCCAAGGAAGGCGATGGCTAGGCTAGGCATGCTTAACACATGTCCTAACCATCTCAATCGGCATAACTTCACAATCTCGTCGACTGATTTACCCTCCCACCTACCTAGCACTCGACGCCTAACCTCAATATTGCTCACCCTGTTATGCCCCCTAACACCACGGGAGACAGAATGCAGGCACCTGCGACCAAAGACAGGTAGTCGGCCTTTTCATGTCTTACAATTTCAGTGACCAAGTCTCAGTCACAGCCATAAAGGAGGACAGGGCGAACTGCTGAGCAGTACTCTCGTCCTTTGGTCAAAAGCCGGATATCACGTCTACTAAGTCAGAGATGGCGTAATTTGGCATATGCCAAATGAGCCTTCTGTATCTGTGCTGAGATTTCGTCAGCCATCAACGAGCTGGCGTTGGCTGACGCAACTTCCCAAATAAGTAAAGTGGTCAACACGCCCCACCATCGAAATTCTTCTGATGACGTTAAGTAAGCATAAAATCTAGTTCATACAGAATTCCATCCTGATTAACAACTAGTCAATTACGTGAAAAGTATTATTAATTCAATAATCAATCAGAAGTTGTTTGTTTCTATAAAAAAGAAAATTCACTTCCTATTTAGATAATAAATGTATAACTTGAATAAGATTGTGAATAATACAATGTTCAATACCCAAATGACAACAATGAGGATTGTTTTGGTGAGAAGCTCAGATGGTGAATTTAATCGCAAACCGAAATCAACTAGAAAATCATTGGAAACCAAAAACAGTACCCAAACAGTCGATTCGTTCTTATCTGGAACTCTTCAGCAGTGCACATAAAATAAACAAACCAAGGAGTACATTTGCCACTACGACTAGCCGATGAGTTAGAATCCAAAAAATAGCCTATAAATTCAAACCGCCTCTTATATCACACTTCCTTCTGTGAGTATTTGTCCCACGCATGACTTAACTGACCCCCACCCAATTCACAATTTTTCTCTAAAGAGGCCTGTTGAGGCAGCTTTTGTAGAAATTCCCTTCATCTCAATGGAACTATCCAGCGCTCCTTAATTTACTATGACCTTCCAGGTGATCAATCTCATTTAGTGATAAAATTTAATAATAACACGTAAATAACAAAGAATGTAGAATATAATTGGGGAATAATGATAAAAATAGACAGATTTTCAAAACAAACCAATCCGTTTCTTTTTTTTTTTTGAAGAACTGAGAAATAACAAAAATCCCCTTAGTCTTAGATCTGTTGGCAGCTCATGCGCGCCAGCCGATCTTATGTATACTTTAAAGATGAGGATTGTTAGATTCAGTGACTAGCATATGCTATCGTTTAACTCCCCAATGACCACCACCCTCGCCCCCATGAAATAACGATGCCGCTAGCTTGTGTTTCTGACTATATATGAAGACGAACATTGTGAAAAGCAAATGTTGTCAACTGAACGCTTGAAATAATTAAACTAGACCAAATTAACAGGGAATGTTTTACCCATACAACTTAAGCTTTACACCATTAATCAAACAATAATGTCTTTATCTTCTAACTAACTAACTAACAACCAATTTGATTCACCAATACTTTATTAATGTATGTAATTTTTGAAGTTATTTACTCAATTAGGAGTACTCATTGAACATGTGTCAAAGTGAGTCAAAACTAACAAGCAGAACTGATGGGAGCCTAAGATCGATCCACAGAAAACCTGCTTGGACTGGTCAGCTAACAAGCTTCTATAGCTGGGTACCCACTCAACAAAAGCGAAATTTAATTGAATCACTTGCCACCCGCATCCGACGCATCTGCAGTCCCGACGATCTGGAAACAGAATTAGTTATTGTAAGAGAAATTTTCATCCAAAATGGATACCCAATGAGATTCATCGACAAAAATATGAAACCAAGAATTCGGACAAACGAAACTCTACTTGCAATAAGGAGTGCGATAATTGAACATCTGGTTAACACTGATTATTCCATTTCAACAAACGCCTCCTTCAAAGTAATCTACAGAGTCAAGAACAACCTATCAAAGGCAATACGGTTTCGCCTTCTTTGTATCTCTGAAGCTCTGGCCATTCACATAGAAAAACCGGAGCTGTGCATACAAAAGAGGATTACTCAACCACTTCTACTGTCTTGGTAACAACTTTTTTCATTTGATTTGATTT